GAACCATATGCCAGCTGTTAAGCCCATTGCTAATATCACCAAACCTCTTGACTTGAGGGGACTTTCCTTGTCTTAAATTCTATTCAGTTTACACCGGCCACCAAAACCATTCCTTGTCTATTATATATAGGCTAAGCCAGGACTCATCCTGTCCAATTAAGTTGAAACAGACTTCATAGCAACAAGTCAATTGCCTACCATATCCCTGATCCTATCCAACACTAACAACCCTTTTAGAATCGCGACTAATGGCTTTTAATTTTTGCTGTTCTTGGAATCCTAGTTTATTTTTGCTGCTGATAATTGTTGCCTTCTTCAATTCTTCACAATCTATCTTGGCTGGCAACTTCGATCAAGATTTTGCGGTCACCTGGGGCGATGGCCGTGCCAAAACACTCAACAATGGGAAGCTTCTCACCCTTTCCCTTGACAAAGCCTCCGGATCAGGCGTACAATCCAAGAATGAGTACCTGTTTGGAAGAATCGATATGCAGCTCAAACTCGTCCCTGGCAACTCTGCTGGCACCGTCACAACATATTACGTAAGTTCATCTTTCATCAAAATTTACATATTTTGGTAACTTGGTTTATTAACTTTTTGTTGAACATGCAGTTATCTTCACCAGGTTCAACCCGCGATGAGATAGACTTCGAATTCTTGGGAAATCTTAGTGGCGATCCTTATATTGTTCACACTAATGTCTATGCTCAAGGCAAGGGAGATAAAGAGCAACAATTCTACGCCTGGTTCGACCCCACTGCTGATTTTCATACCTATTCCATTGTATGGAATCCCCGTTCAATCCTGTAAGTCTTGACATGCTTAACGAAATTTTTCATAGCCTTTTGTTATTCTTTTTAATTAACCAACCTTTTGTCTTTGTTTTCGTTTTTATAGTTTTTATGTTGATGGCACACCAATTAGAGTGTACAAGAATTTGGAAGCAAGGGGGATCCCATATCCGAAGAACCAGCCGATGAAGGTATACGCTAGTCTATGGGATGCAGAAGACTGGGCCACAAGAGGCGGCCTTGTCAAGACTGACTGGTCACAGTCTCCCTTTACTGCTTCCTTGAGAGATTTCAAGGCCGATGCTTGTGTATGGAGCTCTGGGAAATCTTCTTGTGGATCAAACTCCACAAAGCCATGGTTCTCTCAGGAACTTGATGCCACCAGTCAAGCCAGACTGAAATGGGTGCAGCAGAATTACATGATATACAATTATTGTACAGATGCCAAACGTTTTCCTCAGGGCTTCCCTCCAGAATGCATCGCCAACAACTCCACAGCCTAAAAAATTGTGTCTGTTACTTCTCCCATAGTTAATAACCCCCGAATTGATTCTTTAGTTTTGGTACATTTATCGACATTTAGTCCACTACACTTTTTGTCAATGTACCGTGGAGTTAAATATGAATTTGTGAAATAAAACGGAAGTAATTGATTACTTTTTAAATTGGAGAATGACAACTGAAATAAAAACCCAGTATGGTAACAGTAGCATGCAATATGTAGGGAATGTATCAGCAAACAGAGGTCTCCCTTCTTCCTTGATTCAGAAATCAGAATCCCCCTTATTGAAAAAGAAATCTCTGGTCCATATGATCGATTTGAAAAAGGGTCAAAAGCAATGAAGTTCATAAAGATTTCAACGCGTAAAAGTAATGATGATATTGCCACTGGGCAAGTGATTTAAATTCCACTGGGCAAGTGATGTGTCTACAGTGTATATTGAGGATGTCAACAATCACAATTGCATATTGAAGATGAGTTGAACTGCTGCAAGCCGACTTCCCCCGCTTCATTGTATTTGTTAAAATAATACTCGTATTTTTGTTAAAAAGGATAACTCGCATTCTAGTTCACACGAACTAAAAAGAAAACAACGAAGCGAAATCCAACAATCAGAAGGATTTAGTACCGACTTCACGGACGACCTTCGAGACATTTCTGGTACATCAACCGATTTCGAGAAAGAAGAAAATGAAAATGAAACCCAAAATGCTCAAATTAAACTCCAATCATGACACAAAACCAGGCATGAAGCATACGCCACATTGTAATTACCAGACCTCCAAGCTATGTATATAATTGAACTCCCGTAGTTTTGTCCAAAATGATGTCATTTCCAATATTTACTCTGTCTGATTTCTTTGTTTAATTTTCGGTTGATGATTCTCCAACCCAAAGCTCTAGATGGAGTATGGACATGATCTGTCTTTTTATACTGTAAAAAAAAGGTGTATCTGCAACACAAAACAGAGCAGCTCACAAAGACATGACACGTACTCCTCAACTTCTGCATGCATGACTTCAGAGCTTCAGAGAAGAAGCTGAGTCGGCAGAAAGAAACAATCTCCAATATCGAGACACTCTCTCTTTAGATAATACTCCTACTAGTAGTCTTATGAGTCGACAACAGCTTACAGCTTTGATGACCATCCACAGTGGGGATCAATGCAAGTCTTTAGATGTTTAGAACAGACCCTTTTTAAAAAAAAAAAAAAAAAAAAAATTATGCTTTATATGCTTATCTCCACAGCTGTTCACAACTTACAAATATTATACTCCCATTTCTAGGTGACTTTTTCCCAGAGTTTTCAGAGCTACCTTTTTTCCCGATGCTACCATTCAATTCTCTATAGATTGGAACCTCTGTGCAATTGAACCATCAGTAACGGGCTTCATTTTCCCTTCTGAACGCTAATACAGTTACTGTACTTGTTTCGGTTGAACGAAGTGTTAATCAATGGCTTCACTTTCTTTGATTAATGTTCCATTTCTTCTGGTGATATCTTTATCAATAGTCACGTCTTCAATGGTGGCTTCTGCTAATAATTTCTATCAAGATTTTGACATAACCTGGGGAGGTTCCAGGGGAAAGATACTCGACAATGGGGAGCTTCTTACTTTATCCTTGGATAACATTTCTGGCTCAGGGTTCCAATCCAAGAAAGAGTATTTATTCGGGAAAATTGATATGCAGCTCAAATTAGTCCCTGGAAATTCTGCTGGCACTGTCACTGCTTACTACGTAAGCTTAAGACCAATTGATATATGTTTGAGTGAGCCAAATTATTCATCAGAAAAGTTTAGCATATTCTTTAATTCGTGTTAATGTTTTGGCAGTTGTCATCAATTGGACCGATCCATGATGAAATAGACTGAGTTTCTGGGAAATTTGAGCGGTCAACCTTATATACTTCATACCAATGTGTACACTCAGGGCAAAGGCGAAAGAGAACAGCAGTTCTACTTCTGGTTTGATCCAACTGCTGATTTCCACACTTATTCAGTGCACTGGAATCCATCAGCTGTTGTGTAAGTACTGTAATATGTCTTTAATTTAATCCAAGAAAACGTACTTAATAATTCTGAATTGATTAAGTAATGCTATATGATTGAAATCAATGCCTCTGTCGTAGCTTCTCTGTGGATACAATTCCCATCAGGGTTTTCAAGAACTTGGAATCCATAGGTGTTGCATTTCCGAAAACCCAGCCAATGAGGCTATATTCAAGTTTATGGAACGCAGATGAGTGGGCCACAAGAGGGGGGCTGGTGAAGATTGACTGGACTCAAGCACCATTTATGGCTTCCTACAGAGGTTTTAGTGCAAGTGCTTGCAGTTTGGCTTCTGCAAAACCTTCTTGCGTTTCATCAATGCCAAATTATAGTCCGTGGTTGTCAGAGCAGCTGGATCCACTCGGTGAAAGGAGGTTAAGGTGGGTGGAAAAGAATTACATGATCTACAATTATTGCACTGACGCAAAGCGTTTTCCACAGGGATTTCCACCAGAGTGCAGGGCCATCTCTTGAAAGAATATGTCCATTCTGATACTCGTTTCCACCGCCGAATTTTGCTTTCTAGTTAATCTCTTTCTTAAGTGGTGTTTCGTGCTAAAATTTTGTTGTCGTCCTCGAAGTTCTTGTAGCATAAATGCACGATGAATATGACATGTAATATGAACTCGAGAGTATATTGTTTTGACATGAAATCCTCTGTATGGCAAAGACATGCACTTAACCTCATTGATTAGGACCACTAAACCGCACTCCTATACATTGTTGAAGGATTTGATTAAACTAGAATGATTGAAAACAGGTGCTTAATGTCCTTTTTGTTTAACTTCTATATCATAAATAATTAAGGTACTTTAATTCATTAACTATCTGACGTCGTCTTCACTCCAACCCTATATCTTTAGAGATGCATCGAGCATTTTCGGTAGTCGAAGCTAAAGGTTTCTTGGTCTCCTTTTCGCTGATCAAGACTACTTCAAGTTATGCTTGGAAACCGGTTTTTCATAAATTGTCCCCCCTTTTCTGGTCATGCACATTGGCTTCCAAGCTCAACTGTAAATGTTCGCAGGTTGACTCCCATACTTCTGAGAATTGCAATTGGACCCAAGAAATGTTGAACTTTCACGACACTGACATAAATCATGTTAGTAGATTATGATCAAGTGCAAGGTTGTGACGATTCTGAAGAGAGGAAAAATCAGGGTCAATCGTAAAGTTTTGCATGCCAGACATCCATTTCAAAGTTTACCGTATCAGGTCCAGTAAAAGAACTATAGCAAAAATTAATTTCAAGTCATTTCTTGAAATAGGAGATCTACATTCTCCCCCTCCCCCTCCCCCCCTCTTTATATCATATTTTACCATTTGAAACTATGAGTTCTAATTCAAACTGCATAATTTTTTAAAGTATGAAAAGAAAATTTGCGAAGATGTTGGAAAAGGAAGTGAGATAAAGAGCTGGACAAAAGATTCGTAACAAATGAAATGAGCCTTCTTTTCATAATTTTTTTTTATATCTTAGTCGGGCAAGGCTAATTTTGGTTTCCCATAAATAATTCGATATTCCCTTTCAATCAGCAATTGTGGTTGAGATGCATAAATGAAAGGTGGGTATCAGTCGGCTATCAATCTCTATAATTCCTCATTAGTATATATAGCTTGAATATGGGATGCCCATCTTCACGTGTACCTTTCAATAACCAGAAGTCTCCCTTCATGAGCGATCTTCCTTCCCATTTCATTTGCCTTAAAAAAAAAAAAAGAGAGAGAGAGAGAGAGAAAAGAAAGAAAGAGAAAATGCTAATAATAGTACTATAAAATGGTAGAACGCAAGCAGCTGCCTAGTAAGATAAGGAAACAAAAAAAAATACTCCAAGCTCATATTTAGTGAGCAAGATATGGACACTTTGGTTCTTAGGCTCTTTGCGACGTCCTTACTGGTTCTGACCGCTTGTCTGGTGGCTTTTGATTCACAAACTAAGCTTCTCTTCTACTCCATAGTCAGAAAGGCCTCCTTCAGGGACCTCAATGCTTTGTCGTGAGTTCTTTCATTCCCCAACCCCCTTCTTTCCAACAGATATTATGTGCAAATAATCTCCGCTGATGATCATTTTTTAGTGACGAGGTTGTTGATATCCATGTTTTTCAGTATTCTGGTGTGGGTCGACTCGGCTGCTGCTGCCTATAATGTGCTCCACATATTAAGAAGTCGTCTCTTTCCCCAAATGGACAAAAATCTGGCTTGGTTTGGTTATTTATTGGACCAGGTAAATTTTTCAGTTTATATAATATAAATGCAAGCATTTGGATATACAGCCTCTTCTATATATTGGTAAGACATGCAAAAACTGCCCTTGGAATTTGCTTTGAAAAGTTAATTTGAGGGTGAAAGAATGATTTGTGTGGAAGCAGGTGTGTTTGGATAGGAATTACTTGTCCAAAAATTATTTTTTTGAATTATATATATATTTTTTAACACATTTTTTTTAATTATTTTTTTTATCTCACACGTACATTATACCGTCAATATGTACTACATTAACTATTCTCAATAATATTTCAAATAGTCACCTTAGAGATAGATGGACATACACGTAATTAAAATAATTATGTACCATCTTTAACATGACTTTCTTTTTTATCTTTTTGGGGTAAATTATTTAACAAAACTAAAGAAATAGAATGAATTGAATAACATTGATCGGTAAATCTAAACTTTCTTGTATGCCTGTTTGAAAGTTGAACATTCGATAGATTATGTTCATGTGACATACACACTTGTTAAGAATATTTTGATTCTTCAATAAGATATTTTAAACATTTTCTTCGTCCTGGATATACACATAACCTCGTCTCCATTTTTTTTTTTTTTTTACTTTTATTTTTTGATAAGTTCGAGTTTCCTTCTGTTCAGAAACTCTACAACCCAGTACTGATTGGTCCACAAGTCTAATAGGTTCTACTTCCATTAATAGGAAGCAGATTTATTATCGAATTACGATCTCAGTTTAATGAAGAAGCATCAATTTTTACAGCTTTAGTTTAGTTTGACGATTGATGTCTCAAATTAAGATGGAAAAATCAGATTTAAGTGGATCTGCAAATAAATAAATAAATAATAATAAAACAAGTTGATCTGTAAAGGATAAAATGGATAATTTCATCTAACAGTCGAATAAGACTGAACCCCTTTCAATTTCAATGTAAATTACAGCAATTTTCATTCTCAAATGTAGTTGGAAAACATGACCATAATCTCATGATTCTCTTCGCAGAATAACATAATCACGATGCAATTCCATTGCAGAGTAAGTATAACAGTATAAAAGCTACTGAACCAAACATAATCACAGTCTCATGATTCTTTTCGCATTAAGTCTAGACTGAAGCTGCTGGCCGTAGGGTTCATCGACAACAGTGTTGTGACCATACCAGAATTTAATGAAACAGCTGCTTAGTACATTAATTAAAACATTTTTCCCGAATCCCAACTCCAATAATTGCTGGATGGTGGCTCCCCATCAAGAAATGAATTAATGGCATTGTATCTGTTCTAACTTCTAACTTCCCCACTTATGTCATTTTCCGGTGCATGCATTTGACAATCGTCGGAGGGATTATCCACTAGAACTGAGAGGGAAATGTCTAAGCCTAGTACTGTTTCCACTCAAGCCTTTCCATTTATTAACAATATCTTCATATCTATTACTCTGAAAAAATTAAAAATAAAAATCAAGTGCTCTAAAAGAGAAAAAGAAATGCATCTTTTACGTAATTTAATTTCCCTCGTTATTCTTATCAGCGGTTAGAATTAGGCATATAGACATAGTAAGTTTTTGTGCAAACAAAAACCAACAGAGGGAACACAGCTTGCCGGCAACCTTGACATGAACGTACATATGGATGTGGTTAACGGAATCGGGGCATGTACGATCGTATTAGGTGTGAATGTACACTGTTATTGTATCTGATACATGTATTGATATGCATTTATATTATTTTATGGTACATGTGAATCATTCTTCTTTATATATATATATATATATACTAGTTTATTTGTGCCTCATGCGATGCATGAGGGTGCCCAGTTTTTTGTGAAGTTATTAGTTGTGTGTGTGGAGTTAAGAGTGGGTGGGTGTGTGCGAATTTGATGATGAAAGAGTGGTAGTTCAGGATACGTAGGCACACTATTTTGTAGCAGTCTGTACATTATCAAAAATTGGTCATTACAGGATAGAAAGCTCATACAAAGAGCTGTAGACAAAACCACTATTTACATTAACAAAAATAGGTGGTTGCATGGTAGAAAACTAATGTCAACAGCTATTGCAAAACTATAGATGACAAACAAACCTATTTAACTAAATTTACCCATACTCGACTATGAATAGATGGATATGCGTATCTTAAATTTTTGCATATGAGTATAAAATGAGTTACCCAATAATACCCATTTAATTTTATTGGATAACTCATCAAATCTAATTAAATCATTTAGAATTGTCTTCTCCCAAACCTTCTCTCTTTCTCCACCCCTTTTTTTTTTTTTTTCAGATTCTTCATTTTGTCAGGATGTTAACTACTTTTGTTTCATTATTATTATTATTATTTGTTGATTTTATTTTATCATTTTATTTTCTCTTAGTTTGTTAACTTGCTCATTTTTTAGCATTACCAATTTATGACAAATTTTAGCCTATTTTCCTACCTTTCCAAAATGAAAATTTAAATTTATACATGAAAAAAATGCTAGGGGTTCAAAATTTTTGGATTAAATTTTTATGTTAACTTTTATAGTACTTAGTTCAAATTTTTATATTCTTATTGATCAATTATTAAATAGTATGTAATTTTGTGACATAGAGTACGGATGAAAAAAAATTGATAATCAGGCTTATTGAACATTATAAGTAAATATTTTAAGCTAATAATGAGTGTAAAGGGTGGTATAAATTGATAACTTAATTTGTAAAAATGAATTTAAATGAGATTACAAAAAAATTAAAATAAATGGGTAAGCCTCAAATTGCTTCCACGTAATAAGGCAACAAAAGTAAAGTAAACTCAATCTATACAATACTAATATGTTAAGGTGAAATTTCAAATTTAGCCACCTGTCTAAAGCACATTTGCACCGTTTTTAACAAAGACATGCAAGACATGCAACTTCAGAAGCTCCCAATTGCTTCCACGTAAGCTAACACCACCACCGTATATGTTAAGCAAGTCAATCTGTCCAACACCAAAACAAAGATGTGAAATTCCATGTTTAGCCACCTACTGATGGTGCCCATACGGGACCATCACTATTGCACTCATATCAGCCAACTCCCCTTTTTATACTTCTTATGATATGATATATTGGCTAAAAATACAAATGTTATCTGTATAGACTAAATAGTTCGAGAAGTACAATAATTTTGATAGATGAACGCTAAATATTGTAAAAAGTATAATAACCTGCCCAGTGTCCATGATGAACGCGTTCATATCATTTTGTAGAAAGATTGAATTCTCGAACGAGAGAACCAATTATTTGATCTGAATTTTTCATGCACAAATTGGCAGGCAGTGGCATACCTTGTATTTGCAGCAAACTCAGCAGCTCTTCAGGGCTGTGTTTTTGCAGTAAGCGGCCAGAGTAATTTTGGGTGGATGAAGGTATGCGACAGATACACGAGGTTCTGCATCCAAATTGGTGGAGCTTTAATGTGTGGTTATGCTGCATGCCTTGTAATGGCTGTCATTTCATCGCTCTCTGCATACGGTCTTTTTAGATTGTATTCTCCAAAACACTTCCTACAATTGAAGCACCAGTAAGTCATATGCTTTGGTATCTGTTTGCTTATGCTGATTAAAGACAATAATCTAAGCTACATTATAATGTTATGGGGTCAATCAACAAGCCGCCGATTAATTTGGCATTGTGTGTGTTGATGGCTCTTTTTCTGTTTTCTCTTCTACTTCTTCCGAGTTTACTTCATTAGCATTTTTTTTTATAGTACCATTCGATGACGTACCCCAGATTTTTTTTTTTTTTTTTCCATAATTTGGTCGTTCTGCTTGAAACTATTGATAGCCACCCTAATCTAATTAAAAGGTTAAAACTAACTAGCTTTGCACATTTACATTTTTGTTATACAAAAACAAAAAAGAATAGAAAAGTCTATTCCTGTAGATTCTTAACATCGTATGCTCTCTTCCAAAATCAGATCAACATTTAAAAGTGTGAAAGGTCTTTGCTGATTATTTTCCTGCGGGATCCATTAGAGTGGTTCCAAAAGTATGATAAATTGAAGATATGGCAACTGCTAATATTATTCGTTTAGTTCAGAAACTCAAAACGAAGGTAGGGTGTAATTTTTGATCAAAATAAATAAATGAAAATCCATCTCAAAATATGTGGGTTACATCAATTCACTAAAGTAGCACATACTTTGGATGCTAGTGAAAACGACAAAATGAAAGAGAGTTTGATAATGATGCAGATTCATCAAACAGTTGATATTCAAACAGTTAATTTAAACGGAGTCTCAATTTTTTAAAAAATTGCTACAGCTGCTGTTATGGATAACACAGCAAAGAAGACTTGGGATATCTTTGAGACAAAGCAGGGTGTTGGACCTTCATCCCTTAGTCTGGATGGAGACATCTAGCCCATGTAAAAGAGCAAGAAAGCTTCCGAAGTGCAACTTTGCCGGGCTCCGAATACTGGGTTGTGCAGATGCATGAATTCTTTCATGCAACTCCTTGGGCCCAAAATATGCAATAGTTTCGATTTCTTGGCAACCCATTGAAGCAGGGTTGAGAGGATCACGTACATTAATGTAATATATGTGAAATAAAAATAATAATTAATTAATTAAAAAATATATTTCTGATATAAGTAAAATAATATTTGAGAAAATTTTTGTATCATGCAATACATTATGATGGAAGCCAAGTAGAAATCTCCCTTCCTATCCTGTATTTTTTAAATATCATCCCTTCTCTAATATAATTTTTTTTAGAAAAAAAGCAGAAAAAATTTTCAGTTACAATTTATATATCACATTTCAAGGTAAGAGGAATACTTAACAAACATCATTATCTCACTAGACGCAAAAAGCCAAAAAGTGTCCCCGGACCTAACTTAGCTGGTATGGATATCAGCCAAGAAACCATAAGGTCTTTTTGTTGTCTCTCAAGTTCTCTCCTCTCTCCTTTCCCCCTCATAAGACTTGGGGCCTTGTCTTGAACCAGAAAAAACAAACAATAATTCATGGTAATACATGTCATCCGCAATTTGACTCTTCTTGTTTTAAAAGTAAAACGGACAGATCAGGTAACAAGAATTGTAAAGCTGTCAAGTCCTGTATTCATATTGAAAACTAACTTTGCGCATGAACTTCACTTTCGATCATGGTGTTAATCGGTCATATGTTTGGCAAGAAATTTGGTCATAGTAGTACCTAGATAAATGGACACAAAAGGAGGTTTCTTATGACACGGTCCACCAGTATCCAAATTAACAAGGCACCACCAACATGCACTACCTCATGGTCATGCTAGAAAAAGTCAAGTCCGGTAATGATTTTGTTGCTACGAGAAACAAATAAATGAAAGGCCATAGAGGTTATGGCCAATGTGTAGAGCTTTTGATAGAAGTATAAGGGTTATGTTCGAGTTGTACAGAGGTTCTTCTAGATTATTTTGGAATCCTCTATACTTCTCTTCATGAACACTGTGGAAATGCTTAGAGCTCGTACATAATAGACGATAGGATCTAGAGTCGTATACAAGGTTTTAGAGGTGAGGCTTTGTATAGCAACTTGATAATTGTTTAGAATGCTCTAGAGGTTATGGCCAAGACCCCTCTCATTTGTAATCGTTCGTGTGGATTGGAGTTCCATTTGCAATACAAGGGCTTCCCAAGTTCTCTTAACTTTCCTTCTTTACCTCAAAACCTTTTGGTTGTGTCTGATCATACGCTTTGGCAGGAAGGCTAAACTGGTATATCTCCATCTCCTACCTTCTGTGTTCGAGTTTGCTAGTGCCGCACGACTTTGTGGGACAATGAAAAGCCAACCCGTGACACTTCAACTTTTATTCGAGATAAATATATAAGACAGCATAAAGTTGTATTTGTTGTCCATGAACACTTCTATTTTCAGTTAATGCAATACACATTGCTATGTGCACTTTGGGTTGGGTAAATTCGAAGATAAGCTAAAATCCTGTCCATTTAGTGTCCTTCTGACTGAGTTGGACGTTGATTAGACGACATAATATTGTCAGAAAGTACGTCAAGGTTATCGATCAACCGATGTGGATCGGACAGTGTTAGATTGGAAAGACGCAAATTCTTCATGGTTTCTCTTTCTTTACTTATTGATGTGCCAATTGCTTCATTTTTTAGACAACCATGAATTAGTTCTTCATCACAATCTTTTAAGACTTTTATCGTTTCTTGCATTTGCATGCTTAATTGACTACAAAAATACTAAAGGAAAAATGGTAGTAACTATTCAGTAGTCATCAAACTTGTGTACGTAGCTAAGTTTTGGTCAGAGTCCGGCAAATTTTGCTGGGCTCAAACTTCCAGGAAAGGAAAGTGTGAGAAATTTCAGGCATACTAGAAAAGGAATCTCCTTTAATTTCCTCACAACCAAATACAAGCACATCAAGTTAGAGTTTCTTTCTCCTTTTTTTGTTTTTTCGTTTATTTGGTTTCTCCTTCTGTTGGGGATATATATAAAAAGATTAGGAAGAGGGAAAGATGGAAAGATGGTATATATAAAAAAGATGGAAAGATGGTTTCTCCTTCTGTTGGGGATATATATAAAAAGATTAGGAAGAGGGAAAGATGGTACTGGTCCACCATTACATTTTTCAACGGTGTTACCTTCTTTCTTGGTGTCTTTATATTATTGATGTGCTTGTAATCCCATAAATGACTTCTAGCCGCTTTCACGTTCGAGAGACCACTTTTCAGGAAGTATTTAATTTTTCCAATGAGAGAAAAAAAATGCCAATTTTGATAGGAGAAAATATTTTTTTGAGGACAGATTACTAGTTGACGTCGAAAATTTGCATAATGAAAAGTACTAAAAATGAGTAAAGATGAAAAAAAAAAAAAAAACTCAATCATTGATAGAGGGAGGGCAAATAATCATCACAAAATTTTCCTTAAATTTTATGAGAAACTACGGAGAGTAAATTCTGCTAGGAGGCTGTCTAACTCAAAACGTCATGGCAGCTTTAGCTTTATATACAATCAAGAATCTTGGCTCACGAGGAATTACAACACAGCTTGCTAAAGAAGACAAGACAAGAAGCTCTAACATGAACTGCACTATATAACGGACGACCGTGAAAGACTGATGATGAAGACTTTGGTTCAGTACTTTCCTCCTTCTAAGAGAACTTGAACGAACATTATTGTTTTAGAGCACCATACAAAAACTGAAGTGATGTTATTGAGGGTTGGCCCCCATATATATATATACATATATACATATGCATCTGTTGCGTGTTAAATTGTCTGATTGATGTGGTGTAGCTAAACTGAACTAGTTTAACGTCCTCATGTGCTAAAAGTTCATCGCATAAAAAATCAGGGGTTAATACCACTTTGTCCCCCCAAACTTTGGACGATTACCCACTTCAGTCCCTAAACTTCAAAATGGGACACTTAAGTCCCTAAACTTATAAATACATCCCATTTAAGGAAAATTGTTAACAAATCCTGAATGCCGTTGGTGGTCGAAGTGTCCCATTTTATAAGGGTTTAGGGATTTAAGTGTCACATTTTATAAGTTTAGGGACTTAAGTGGGAGGTATTTATAAGTTTAGGGACTTAAGTGTCCCATTTTAAAGTTTAGGGACTGAAGTGGGTAATCGTCCAAAATTTGGGGGGACAAAGTGGAATTAACCCAAAAATCAGAGGTGAGAACCTGATAATAGTGGGGTGAATAGGTAAGAGGCACTACCCTAAGGAAACTATTAAAGTGATGATCGATCAGCTGCCTGAGTTGGATGTTGATTTAATATCACATCATTTCTTTGTTTATGGCTTACAAGAAAAAAGTTTGGTCACAAATTTACAATATTGACGGCAAATTAGACAATCAAAGCTTGCCTACCCTAGCTTTAGCATAAAACTTAGCACACAACTGTTGCAAGGCTTCAGCTTCAAAAGACAACACCATGTTCGTCCTACTTTAACTTGAGATAACACCATGTTGCTCAATGTTGATCTCACACCATACATACAAATCTTAAAAGTATGACACTTACTTTTATATGAATGATTCGTAACTAGGTTATAGTGGGTCTAGTTCAAATACTTAGGTAGAAAGTGCAAAATGTTGAAACTCAAAGCTTTAAAATGCTAAACAAAAATCTTGGTGTGTATATTCGACATATGAAGCGACTTAAATTCTAGTAATTAAATTGGATTTGATAGCTCTTAAGCAAAGCCTAGGGGACTGTTTCATATAAAAATTGGAAGAACAAAAATAATGCATTTCCTTAAATAAACGTGGTCACAAGTTTAAGTCTTGGGAGAACCATACAACTTATAAGTCCACAGATTTTTTTGACCTAAATTAGAGCCGATACTTGTTTTACAAGTAAACTGTGAAGTATACAAGTGATCAGGGCACATTCTTGGACTAAAGGAACGGTGGGCGTCCATTTAATGAAGAAGGAAGCATTAAATGATTGTGAATTTTCTATGTTAAAAAATATATAATCTTTGATTTGCCCACCACTAGACTGCAGGATGATCGCTCTTGACGTTATTGGGTAACGTATTGTTGCTTGCAAAAATTGAAAACATAATGATATTCTAAATCAGGTATATTAGCTGTAGTATTCAAATTGCAAGTCAAATACATTGCTTAGATTCTGTTCTTTTGCTCCAGAAACATGGGATATACTCCATGGTTGTATTTTCGAAGAAAAAGCATTGGTTTACCTTGCCACGCTACCAGCTTGCCAATCGTGTGGGAAACTTGAAGATTA